TTAATATTCACATTGTCAACGGGTCGGGCCGGGTCGGGCCCGCCCTGGGCTGCTGTCCAGTTTTATACTCTTATCAATGTGAATGTTAACATGTCAATGTGAATATTCACATTGTCAACGGGCCGGAGCGGGCTGGCTTTTGGCCGCCCATGGGCCGCGGGCGGGTTTCGCGCCGCCACGGGACGGGGGCCAATTTTACACTCCTATTAATGTGAATGTTAACATGTCAATGTGAATATTCACATTGTCAACGGGTCGGGCCGGGCCCGCCCCGGACCGTGGGCGGGCTTTTGGCCGCCCATGGGCCGCAGCCCAATTTTATACTCTTATCAATGTGAATGTTAACATGTCAATGTGAATATTCACATTGTCAATGGGCCGGATCGGGCCCGCCCCGGGCCGCCCATGGGCCGTTGGGGGGTTTCGCCCCGCCACGGGACGGGGGCCAATTTTACATTCCTATTAATGTAAATTTTAACATGTCAATGTGAATATTCATATTGTCAACGGGCCCAGCCCACCCTGGCTCGCGGGCTGGTTTCGGGCCCCCCACGGGCCAATTTACATTCCTACAAATGTGAATTTTAAAATATGAATGTTCACATCATTAAATTGCTAATCGTTGAAAAAATATTTATAAGGGTATCAAAATTAAATATAAGGGCATAAGTGTCCAAGAAAATAGTATAAATCAAGAAAATGGACTTTATGGAATAAAACTATACATACATGGGACTAAATGAGTTAAAAAATCCCTTCATGGACTTCTTGGGTTAAAACACTTTTAAATTGGACTTATCAATAAAAATCCCAATGTTTTTAGTCTTGGATTTTTGATTTAATGAATTAGTATAATAATGATATCAAAATTGTCGCTATATTTGACTTTTAAAAAAATAGAATATAATTTAATAAAAATAAAAACAACCATCCATTACATGATCACATCCAAATACATAATAAAAATTAATTTGGTAAAAAAAATTAAATATCTAAAAGATTTTTGAATTTTACATAATTTTATCTTTAGTAGGTAGAAATAATTTTTAAAAATTAAAAAATATTTTTTTGACATTTATTTTTGTCAAATTAATTTATATTTTTGTCAAATTGACGATTTTGCCCTTAAAATTAACCAATGGTATCTTCAATTGTCCTTATTTAAAACAAGATTCAAAATATAGGGTCAAATGTGTCACAATTGAAAAGTTAGGGACCAAAGTGATACAAGCTCCAGACTATATGTACTGTTAATGTAATTTGTCCTTTAATTAAATATATATATATATATACAAAAATTAATTAAAATATAAAAAATAACAAAATTTAAAAAAATGTTTTTAAAAGACCAAAACCAAAACAGATAGTCTCTTTCATCAAAAAAAAAAAATAACAAGATTTTAAAAAAAAAATTAGTTATTTTAATTGACTTATTATTATTTTTATGACTATTTTAACTTAATTAAAAAATTTGTATAAAAAATAAATTAATTTTTTAATTGATTTAACAATTACAAAAAAGAAACAAAATATTATAATTTAAATATGAAATTTTATTTTATTAATTATTTTAATTTATTTTATCTTTACTACTTGTTTTGCCACGCTATAGTATGATGTTTTGGAAAGTTGACAAAGAAATTAATTTTTTTTGCCTTTTTTATGTTTTTTTAAAAACTTTTTTGGCTTTTTTATGATTTTTTTTTTATTTTTTCGTGCTCAAAAAATAAAGAAGTAATGTGATTTAAAGAAAAAAAAAAAACTAGCTTTGTATTTGGTTGTCAAAGAAGCACCCCAGTCTCTTTCATAACAAAATAAAAAATAAAAAAATAAGGGAGACTTATTTATAAGTCATTTTTCAAACACTTATGCTAGGTTAAGTCCTGTGTAATTTCTTATAGAGTCTCAAATCCTATTTAGATAGGAATATATTCCACAAGATCCTACATAAACGCAACGTGACGTGACACTTACATAAACGTAACGTAACGTGACACCTACATATACGTAACGTAACGTGACACCTACATAAACGTAATGTAACGTGTGACGTTACGTTTCGCAAACTTATTAAGTTTTTATGTTTTTAAATTGCATGTGAAAATGTTGTTGGCTTATGTTGGTGTCACGTTACGTTTCATATAAATATGATCTATTGTAATATTCAATTTCCTATATAGGAAATTGAATGTTGCCATAGATCATAAGTGTCACATTACGTTACGTTTATGTAGATATGATCTATGTTAACATTCAATTTTCTATATAAGAAATTGAATGTTGCCATAGATCATAGGTGTCACATTACGTTACGTTTATGTAAATATGTCACGTTACGTTTATGTAGGTGTCACGTTACGTTTATGTAAGTGCCACGTTACGTTACGTTTATATAGATATGATCTATGGTAACATTCAATTTCCTATATATGATTTTACTATTATTTATAATATTAACAACTAATATTGAGGGTAAATGTGTCAATAAACTTTCTACAAGACTTATGGAAACATAAGTTTTTTAATAAGACCATATGTAAAATAAGTCTCCCTAATAAGACTTATAAATAATTTTTTCAAAAAATAATTAGGACGCAGGAGCAGCATATCCTCATTTCCTCTCATTATAATAAGTTGAGTGCTCATCACACCATCTCCATACTACTACACTTGTCTTTGACTAATACATCTAGAGAGAGAAGCAAGAGGGAGAGAAATGGCGAAGGTAGGGAGAATGAAGCTAGGATCACAAGGTCTAGAGGTGTCCAAACAGGGACTGGGATGCATGGGGATGTCAGCCTTCTACGGGCCTCCAAAGCTGGAAGAAGACATGATCAAACTCATCCACCACTCCATCAACTCCGGCGTCACTTTCCTTGACACCTCCGACGTCTACGGCCCTCACACCAACGAAATCCTCCTTGGCAAGGTCGCCCATATTATTAATTCATGTTAGAATTATAGAGAGGAAGGAAATAATATGCATTGTATTGAATGAATGTTTTATATAATAGAAGGTCTGTATATATAGGCTGAGAAAGAGTATTCTACTAGAAATCTAACTTTGAGAAATAATATCTTATAAGAAACTTAAATATAACAATACTTATATCTAGAAAATCAATACCTAATATAGGTACGAATATATACATATATACATTAAGGAGTTGTTTGAGATGATTTAAATAAGTGTACTTTTTGACTTTTCATGAAATATGAATTGGGTATGAGTTGGGATTGAAGTGATGTGATAGAGAGATGATGTGACTTAAATAAGATGATGTGACTTAAATAAGATAGTGATTTTTTGACCTTTTTAAATTATGACAAACAAGGCCTAACAATTCAATTTCCTACTCTTTGATTTCTATTCATAAGAAATGGTGGAATTGTTCTTGATCTTGATTTTGATTTTGATTTTGATGAGCAGGCACTCAAGGGAGGGATGAGAGACAAAGTTGAATTGGCTTTGAAATTCGGGGGCCACTTTGCTGACAGAAAGACAAAGATTCAATGTGATCCGGGATACGTACGGGCAACATGCGAGGCGAGCTTGAAGAGGCTGGACATGGATTGTATCGATCTCTATTATCAGCATCGGATTGACACCCGCGTCTCCATTGAAATCATGGTTCAACCCTGCTTCTCTCTCTCTCTCTCTCTTTAATTTGAACATTTTGTTTGTACTGGTTTTAATTTTTTTAAAATAAATTTTTTATGATTTTTTTATTTTTAGTAAATATTTTTAAAATTTTAAATATTTTTTTACTTTTTTATGGACTTTAGATATATTTGAAAGATAAAATATTTATAAAACATTAATAAATATATAAAAATATAAAAAATATATTGAATTTTCATATACATAGATATATATTTTTTATATTTTTAATATTTAGTGAATTTTTTAATTTTTTATAAATATTATATTTTTAAATGTATAAATGTAAAGTGTATTTAAAAATTAAAAAAAAAATTGTATAAAATAATAAAATTACTTGCTTTGAAATGAGATGGTGGGTAGGCATGCTTCAAAATATATATGTATAGGATGGGGCTTCCCTTTGGTCCAATGAAGGACTGGAGGGTACTGTTGGACTCGTGGGGATCGATCACAGGTTCCGTTTTAATAATCTGAACTGTCAATGTGTAGAACTTGTCGAGTACTATATGCCTGTAAAAAATCACGTTGATTAGATATCAATACCTATGTGATCAAATCAGTTTGTATAACAAAAAAATGGACAGTGAAAAATAAACGGCTGACAAAAACCTAATTTGATCACATAGCTATCGATATCCGATCAATGTGATTTTTTACAGGTAAATAGTACTCGATGACTTCTACACATTGAACGGTTCAGATTATCGAAACGAAACATGTGATGGCCCCCACGGGCCTAATAGTACCTTCCAGTCCGATGAAGAACTGGAGGGAAGGCTTATCTAATTTTTACTTTTTTGTTTTTTTAACATGTTCCTGTTCACACGTCAACTTGTACTGTGACTTCAATACAAATTTGGCTTGTGTACTCTTTTTTTTTTTTTTTTTTTTTTTTGATGAATAGTAATAACTTTTTTGTACTTTTTTGATGAATAGTAATAACTTTTTGACTTTTTTAGTAACTATTTGACTTTTTGTCTTTTATAGACTATCCCAAACAAGCACTAAGTCATAGGTTGTGAATGATATTTTGTAAAGAGAAACGCTATGGTACATCCTGTGTTGTATCATATACATAACTTTAAATTTTATGAGTCATAACTAAATATAATATAAAGCATAATTAAAGATCTCTTGAGTTATAATTAAAATAATATCATAACTAAAGAAGGAAATTGATCATAACTAAAGAAGAAGAAAATGACATAACTAGTGTGCATATGATACACTTCTTTCAAAGGTGTATACATGACAATTTTCCTTTTGTGAATGATGATAAAGTTTTTAAAAATCATAGTTTTAAATTGAACCAAACCAAACCACGTTTTAATTGCTCGGTCTCATTTGTTTGTAAGATTTTCATAATTTAGTTTGGTTCCAAATTTCATGAAATTGGGTGTTTGGCATATGGTTTTTTTGGTTAAAAAATCCAAAAAGCCAAAATACACAATCACATCTATCTAAGTTTTTATACATTTTTTCGTAAAAAGTAAAAAAACAACTAAAATAGTCAATTTCTAAACAAGCTCTAAGTAACAATTCAGTTTGGTTAACCCGTAAACTGAACCAATCCAAATTATGCTCATCCCTAGTGTCTCTCATGAAGTGTGTATGTAGAAACAATCGACGGTAATTTGGACAGAAGAACCAAATTGAAACTAAACAAAATCAAAGTAAAATTTGAGTCAGGCTATAGCAATAAAAAGTGTAATTTACCCAAGTTAATAATATATATTGATACACTTTTGTTTGTGTTTGTCTCAGTATTATGTTATAGTTTACATTTCCAATTGAGAGCTAGCTATTCTCTCAGTCAATGTTGTCTAGGTTGCCTTTTTACTGTGATATGGTATTTTACCTGCCTTTTGGTAATGATGATGATATCAAATTTGGAAATATATGACATTCATCCCCATTTTTTGTTGTCGGGTGTTCCTACTTCAGCTCTTCACTTTTAGTTACTAGCATTTGTGTTTCTTTAATGAATTCTGTGCCCAATTGCCATCCATAGTCATCTATGAGTATAAATTGCTTCAATTAACATGACAAGATTTGCCGTTCCACTTGCATGATAAAGCTTATATGGTACCTTTGGTTCTGCCACCAAATTTGGCACTCTGATAATTGATCCATCTTAAATCAATTAATTCCGATTTTTCTGTTTTTTTCAATTTGTAAAATGAGGATAGTTTCAAATTTGTGTTAGCTGTCAACGGGAATAACATTGAAATCTTTCAAATCTATTTTTAAAATTATTATAGATTCTAATAGGAAATGACCTGAAGTTAAATACTCAACAAAGAAAAGGTAGAGCTTTTTGTTCAGCCAAAACAAATCTAATTACTATCACTTCTGCTAGATATTCAAATTATATTCTGGGGCCAAAAATCTTACATTATTGGTGTGAGAGCCAAACAGGGCCCCCTTGCTGATATTATCTAATTTTCTTTTAAAGCCGTTTGGGTTTTGTGTTCTATTTTTTTTTACTTGGGACGATGACATTCAAAGATAAAAATCCGATTTGGCAGAACTGGACTTTACACATTAGAGTGATCCCAAGTAATTTAGGCAGTCTAGAGATCTCTGCGAGGGGGCATTATTTGTAACTTACAATATAGCGCCGAGAGAATTAGTGAGCTTCGAGTTCAATTTCCCCCCAAACTAAGCCTAGTTTGTGTAAGCTATTACCCAGAAGAAGTCAAAGACATACCTTCTTCGGCTAAAACGCCCTGCGTTCCTATGCAACCGGCGAGTTTTCAACGTCGCTGGCGCTATGTCTCGCGTGGGAAAATTTGGGAAATCTTGAACAAGTCGTGAAATTGGTGGTTGGTCCATCTCCAACAAAAACTGCGCTCGTGTTAATAGACTCGCCGCAGGTCTTGACTAAAGATAAGCATCGGAACTGACTTGGAGAAGTATACTATAAGCTTTTGAGTGATTATAATGTAAGATGAATATATTTTTCTGGAATAGTGTGGTTTGTGAACCCACGATTTTAACTTAATTTTTTTTATCGTTCTTTGAAAACGAGGTTGTAAGCCACGCACAGTTGTTTGGTATCAAATTTTTTTGTCTTGCTAAGGCGTTGGTTGTGAACCACGCTGTTCAATACCAAAATTGATTATTCTGCGTGCTTGGCGTGTATTGGACCAACTTGACTTACAATCAAGTAATAGTCAACACTCATCACACAGTCTTGGTCTAATAAATTTATTTCATATAATACTATAAAATATAAATTTCTTAAAAAAATCTAAATTTCATAAAGCAAATAAAAAATAAATTGTCTAAAATTTACCGCTTACCTTAGTGTTTAGCGGTAATAATTTTATCTTTATTTTAAATTAAATTTTAGTAATATTAAAACCTTCAATAACTCTAAAAATAAAATAAAAAAATTTATCCTATTAAATTCCTAGGGTATTGGTAATCGTTTACTATTATTGTTTATATTTATATGTTGAATAATTTCTATATAAAGTATGGTTTATTATTTATTTTTTGATAGAGTAAACCAGTTATATGAGTTGACAAAACGTGTTTGGTTTCCTTGCAATAGAACCAATAAAATAATTAAAAAAAAAAATTAATGAAAAATATAATTTTAAAAAAAAAACTAATATTGAAAAAATAAATTATTTGAAAGAAAAAATTTAATTGTGGCGAAAAAAATATTTATTGAAAAAAATTTATTTGCAAATAAAGATTAATTTAAAAAGAAGGATTGAGAGTCTGAAAAAATGATTTTATTCTGGTGAAGGTGATCAATTATCTTGGTCTTATTTTGTGTTCAATTATTTGAAATTAAGACCAAATAATTTTGTGTTTCAAGTTGGAGTGTGTGTTGGTGTCGAATGTGAGAAGTGGTTTTTGTTCTGATGTAATTTTTTTTCAATTAAATGGTTTTTTTCGCCAGATTAAATTATTTCCCGCGCCCATTTTTGTTCAAACCAATAACGCGCGGTGTGTGATTTATATGTTTCTATAATGAAGATAAGAAGAGGTTTCAGTTTGTCATTAATAGATTTTCATAGAATACTAAACAAAAAGAGCGTAAATGCTTACCCAGAATGCTACCTAGATTATTTAGGGTATTACATTTTATTTTTTTATTTTATGGGTTGTAGGGTTTAATTCTTTAAAGTTTGATTATAATTTTAAATTTTTGGAAATTAAGAAACAAGTATAAATATTAATTCGGCGTAAAACACTATGATGGGTAGCGTGGCGTGTTTTAATGA